ACAGACCGTATATTCTATTGCCCTACACCAACCCTACCCCTAAACCTACCCCTCACAGGAAACTTTCTGCATTTTGAAAAATGGGGACATGGGGTAATGTCCTCATAAGTCACCTTCTCTTTGTAATACCTGTCATACCCACGTCATACAAATTTGTGTCCTCATATGTCACAAAAACGTGCGCACACACACACTCACTCACTCACTCACTCACACACTCACACACTCACACACTCACACACTCACACACTCACACACTCTCTCTCTCTCACTCACACACACACTCACACTCTCTCACTCACACACTCTTAGATCTTCAGCTCCGTGACAAACACAGAAACAGCGGGACAGCAGGGAGGCGTTGCAGGCCAGACTCAAACCCTCACCGCAGCTCAAGAAGCGTCTGCATCTCACTGCATGATCAGCGCTGGACTCCAGAGATCTGCAGCGCAAACGCTAACAAGTGTGTTCATTCACTGTGTTCTGCTCAGAGACTCAGATGTTCACATGTAAGAGCAGGAGGTCAAAGGTCACTGATATACAGCCATTCACTCATCATCAGGCTGTCAAACGAGGATTAATTCAGCCGAAATCATCAATCTGTCATCATTTACTTGTGTCTCTCAAACATGTTGTATGACTTTGTTTCTCCGGGAACCAAACCACATCAGACTGCCATCATATTTACACAAACACAGACACATTTATCAGAATACCTTCTTTTGTGTTCAACAGAGCAAAGACATGAGGGCGAGTAAATGATGACAGAATGATCAGGTTCATCTGTATTTTCTTCAAAGATCAGCCCTGATAATAAATCTGATGATAAACTCACATTAAACTCAAGGGTTAGCAGAAGACTTTCTTTGTTTGCTTTGGCTCTTAATTTCCTGAAGAGATTAATTTGATCCTGCATCTATCCTGTTGTTTATCATCTGTGGCTTGTTTTGTTTATTGATGTTGTTATATTTTTATTCCTCTACAGCTCTCTGTCGTCTGCTTTATAACTAAACTGAGTTTAGTATCTCTAGCAGCAGATGAGCTGACCAGACTCTGATTAAACGTCAGCACAGATCCGATTATTAATAAAGGCATTCTGACGGAGGAGCGACAAACCAAAACCAGCGTCTGGAGTTCAGATGAAGGACAGAAGAAGAACATCCATCACTGATCAATACAAGCCACCTATGGGATTCAGATGCACAATCATCAACGTTTATTCACATATTACCTGATCACTAAGTGATCAATCATCAGCGGCAGAAAATTATTCAGACACCTTCAATATTTTTCACATTATATCACAGTTTATTGGCTATAGTTTAGAAGATGGTAATAAAATATGAGAAGAACTCAGAGTTAAACTGAGTCAGAACAAACTCATCTTGATAATGTCAGATAACTTTGATAGAAAGGTATGTAATGAATTTGGTTGAATAGCTGTCAGCTGTTACATTTAAGAACACAATTAGATAAAACCAATTTAGCTTCATGTTGTTCAGTCTGTGGTGTAAAAAGATCACATTAGCAATTAAAGAAAAACACTTCAGAAACACATGCTCAGCTCAAAGTGTCTGAATAATTATTGCTCCCAAATTTTACTGTTAGTCCACTGTATGAAGAGTTTTTGGGTGTAATATGTCACAGTTTACTTTATTTTGCTCTCATCGCTTACATGAATGAACTGTAGTGTCCTGCACCCACTAGTAACAAAATATCAACAATTATATCTGCAGTCTGAATGATTTTGCTTTGACTGTATGTTATTCTCCAGCTGACATCATCTTCACAGGCGAGAGGATCAGGAGACGGCGGATTAGCAGCAGATCTGCATTTGACCAAACAAGGGCAGAACGAGCCCCAAACCGCCGCTAATCAGCCGTTTCCGGCCCGGGAGCGACCTCCATCATACCTGCTATCATCTCTGACCAAATATGTAGCTAACAAGAGCGGCAAATTAGGGATTCTGTCCTCCGAAGTCCAGCGGATAAGGCAAGAGAGGACAAAGAGGGAATATTTTCCAGAGCCACAGAAACAGAACACTGCCTTTTACAGAAAGAGCGAGGATCGTGGGTAAATAGCCGCGCTTATATGGCACACTTCATACGGATGATACGAGAGCGTCTGATGATCCGCGGACACACACACACGCCACACACACTCGTCTCCATGGCAACGCTCTTCCCGGGATCGCCGCCGTTAATGATCCGGTCAGACAGAGCCAGATTCACCGGAGGCCTCGTCTTCCCAGAAGAGCATCTCCATCAAAACACACGCAATCTCCAAAGAGCAGCAATTAAGCTTCATTTGGACGCGGCGGGTAAACATGAACTCTGTGCCGTTTACAGGCTTTCTGCAGAGCTTCACATCACATCCAGCCTCCATAAGACCTGCACAAATCAAATAATACCACATGCTGCTAGAGAACAAACCTGCAATCTCAAAACGAATCATCAATTCTTTTATTATTTAAAGAGGCTGAGGCTCAGGACATCTGCACTGATTCTCATTTATCTATTCACCTGAAGTACAGATCTGTCCATTTTGCTGATATGATAATGTGCTCAAAGAAAGCCAATAAAAAGATTATTGTGCCGATATTAATAAAATCCACATACTGAATATGTATAAGTAACGCCCTTAGTCTTTCTTTCCTGTGATGGGCAGTTCAGAGAGAAAATAAAAGAGTTTGCATTGATTTAAATGCCAGATACTGTTTACTGTGTCGCCAAAAAACCAATAATAGCCAGAAAAATGCAGAATGAGGGTTTTTTAATCATAAACAAGCCTGAAATACAGCAGGACTCTTATTCTGAAATGTCTGTGCTCATTCGGATAGATGAGATAAAACGTGCATCTGAAAACCGTCTACAACATATTACAATATAAACACCACCGTAAACATAGTCAATTCATTAAAGAGGCATCATTAACAATAAATGCGCGCACTCTCTGACTGTGAGCAGCTCTCATATTCATTTAATTTAATCATTGCCTTTTGAAGTTTAATAATCACATATCTGTATCACAGTGACTCTGTTTTTCCAGCTCCAAATGTAAGACTTCAGAAAATAACTGAGGCCTTTGTTATACCATTTAAGACTCTCTATGGCCTTAATATTGATCAAACCAAATCTAAGACTAGAAGGACCTGCAGAAACCCGGCATTTACCCATAAAACCCTGCACTGGTCATCAGGACACAGAAGCACTCTGCATACGGACTAAACTATGATAGTATGAGAAACACGATGATGATGATGATACAGCACAGTCACATGACCTCATTACATCACATGACTCACGGCGTCATATCGGTTATTTCATACTTTCAGTCCAATTTTGTTAGAAAACGTTCGCCGCTCTGAGAAAGAGAATCACTGCCGGGTCACTGATCGCACTGGAAATGGAAGGTTGAGCGCATTGCATTGTGGGATACAGTGTTTCACTCATTGTGCTCTGTTGTATACGGTTCATGCTACTCTATGCACACTGTAGAGAGTATACACACTATATACTGTAGTATGTTCATGCTCACGATTCAGACGCACCAAAAAGCGCTCTTTGACCATACACTCATTCAAAATCTCATATTAAAAAGAGACAGTTCTTCATTCTGTCATTATTTACTCTCCATCATGTCGTTCAAACCTGTATGACTTATTTCAGTGAAACAAAAGAGAAAATATTTTTGATTTGTTAATTTT